CACTTTTCTTATAAAAACTCTGTAGAAAATATAAAAACACTTTAAACTGCGGCCGTCACTCTTACACTGTCTAATAAAAGTCCATCTTAACATAGGTTACCCAGGTCTGTAGTATTCCCAAGTTGGCAACATGTGTGAATGACCATGACGAACCATTTCACCTACATATCATCCATTTAAACTATGGGAAAAGTCATATACGTATATATATATATATATATATATATATATATATATATATATATATATATATATATATATATATATATATATATATATATATATATATATATATATATATATATATATATATATATATATCCGACCAGTCATTTTAAGCCATTAGGGTATGTATTAATAATTGTATACTTGTCTCTTAATAAGGCAGAATAAATAACTAAAATAAATCTGTGTTGAATGATACTTTCTTGTGGCAATACAGAGGTAGTACACACACTTGGCACAACACATCACTAATACTGTATCTTCTTCTTCAAACATTCTGGGATCACTGTTAGTATGTGTGAGTTTATACCAAGCAGAGCATTAATTTTTATTAGTTATCTCTCACTCAAGGCTCAACTTATATACACATAGTAATAGAGATACTATCCTCAACATCATCTCAAATTTGACTTCTTTTATTGGTTAATTTATTAATTAACATCGTGAGTAATGACAGGTAGTTGGTGTCAAGTTGGCCCTTGAGTGAGAAGCTACAAGGTAATGTTAAATCAAGAACCATCAAGTACAGAATGGGATATATCCAAGTACTGTACATTAGCTTTATAATCACTCCGTACATAAAACATACAAAGCAACAAAACAACAGCTGAAACAATGAACTACAATTCATTATTAATCATTTAATATAAAATGTTAAAAAAAAAAGAAAGAAAAAAGTTTAAGTCTACCTACGAGAAAACAACCAATATCGTAAACTATCTCTCAAGTACTGCACTAAACTTTCTAACGATGAGGACTCTTGCAACACCACAGTTATGGATCAGTCTTCTGGGGGTGAATGGATTACTTCCGATTACTTGGTTTCGTCTCTATAATATATACGTGACAAAGAGATGGAATTTTAAGCAGTTTGTGCAAGGACCTACAAGTTATTACACAAGATATAATGTTGGAATCACATTGTACTTAAAATTGTATGCTCTTATTGTTATAAACTCCTGCATTGTACCTTTATTTATTCTCAATTCTGACTTTCTATTCTAGTGTGCTGTATCTCTATTCCCAGGTTGTGAGTCTTCAGGGGACCTGTAAGACCCATGGGGACCTTTAAGATCCCTGGGGACCTTTAAGACCCCTGGGGACCTGTGAGACCCCTGGGGGACCTGTGAGATTCCTGGTATGTAAGAAAACTGCCAACTAAAAGGCACAACATTACCAAAATGCTTTTAAAGATTATGTTTTTGTCCGTGTAGTCTCAGCTTAACCTTGGTCTACAGGCACTGTACAGTATCGTCTGGGATCATAACATTGGTCTGATGTTCATCCCACACTCAAATAATTCAATTGATATAATTCATAAATCCTTGTTTAAATATATTGTTTATATGCTAAATTGAAGTTAACATTAAATTAGTTGAGGAGCATTGTAGCTACAGTACTGTACAGTATTGTTTAATGGAGGGATTTTTCTTTTTCCTTTGAAGGCAAACTTAAAGTAAACCTTGATTAACATTTAAGGATTCTTGTACTCAAGTTTTGGAGTAATAAGTGCACAGTACTTCATAAACAAAAGGTGTGCATGGACCCCTTCATATACATGGCAGTACAAAATAGTTTTCCTCACAGCTGTCTCTCACCTCTCCTACCTCTCCTTAACCTGTCTGTGTAGATTCTAGTAGTCCAGAACTTTGACTTATAATAACAGTACCTCTTTAGTTTTGTGGTCTAGACTTTGAGAAAAGTTAAGAAAAATGTAAAACCACATGCACATTGGCTACAAGACACCAAATAAACATTACCAATCCATTGGTGTTTGTGGGAAAACAATTGACTGTCACTTGATGTTTATCTTCATCACCACTAACCCCTACCCCTGTCCCAAGGCTGTATAAATGCTGCACTGTCACTTCTTGCCAAGTTGAATGCAGTAAAGTACCACAATTTAACCAAACCTAACTCGCCCAGGTAAACTTTGGGAAAGAAAACAAAAGGTGAAATAAGCTGGATTGCCTAATCTTCAGGTGAAATAAGCTGGGGTGCCTAAACTGCAGGTGAAATGAGCTGGGCTGCCTAAACTTCAGGTAAAATAAACTGGGGTGCCTAATTTTCAAGTGAAATAAGCTGGATTGCCTAAACTTCAGGTGAAATTAGCTGGGGTGCCTAAACTTCAGGATAAATAAGCTAGGATGCCTAATCTTCAGGTAACCCATACTTTGTTCAAGCATATTCATTTCATGGTATAGTACGGTATTTGTTCTTCCCAGGCCAACTTGTCCTCAGGGAAGTTTAAATCTCCACACCATACCTTACATTCACACAACAAGACAGCACTGGTTTGTTATAGTCACTTTGTTCATCTAAGATATAATCATTGGGCATTAGATAAATAAGTATTAAAACTGGTGTCCCCATAGTGAAGGGATTAAAGTGGTCCTGTTTGATGATTACTGCATTAGCATAAATATTTCACTATCTTTTCTTAGCGCTGTCTTCAGGTGTTATTCCTTCGACTGTATAGGACTGATATTTCTTTTATAATAATGGAAGCCCCCCGAAATCGAGGATGGCCGGCCCAAGGGCCACCTAGGCGTGAATTTGTTTAAGGTGTAGAAACTGTCACCAACACAACAACCACACCCTAAGTTGACGAGCTGCATGACCCAGTGTCAAGGAGTAGTCCGAGAAGACCGGACAACTCGCCACCTGAACTGGCTAACCATTACCCCGGAACACGATCCGCAAATCGGTTAACATCCAGGTTCCCAATTACTGCTGGGTAGACAAAGGCAAATATAATAAAGAAACTTGCCCATAGTTTCACCCTGACCGAGGATCAAACTCGGGTCTGCTCGCTTGCGCGGCGAGAATGCTGACCATTACACCACAGGTCGCCGAAGTTTATTAACCTTGAGGTGAATGTGATGACTAGGTGCTTGAAGTAACCATAGCGACAGTAACCAGGTGCCTGAGTCTTGTCTCGAGTACATAGTTTAGATCAGTAAGTTTTCAACCCTATCGAGAACAAGTAGGTCTAAGAGGAACAGATGACATACACCATAGCAACAATAATAATAATAATAATAATAATAATAAAAATAATAATAATAATAATAATTATTATAATAATAATAATAATAATAATAATAATCCCTGTAATAATAATAATAATACAATATACGCAGTAGCAGGCATAGCATCCAGTGAGTCAATTTGTTTCCCCTCAACACACTGCTTAATTAACAATGGCTCAAGTATGTAGTGGCCAGTTGGTTAACACACAGGTAAAAAAAACAAAAACATTTATCACGTGGTCTTTTCATGCCTTTCTTAACTTCTCTCGAGATTTACGTGACACAGAATTTAAAATTGAATTAATTATCAAAGCTCAGGTCTTGTAGAATCTATATACACTGTTAGGGGAAAACTGGGAGGGGTACAGAATGATACAGATGGAGAAAAATACACTGTCATGCATAATTGAGGGAACCATGCAAATGTTTCAAGTTATTATGATATCTCTTCTGAAACATGAGTTAAAAATCTTGATAGTTTTCTTGAAGTTGATAATAACAGGAATAATAAATAGCTTGTTTTGTAGTAAATATACTGTACATATATACCAAAAAATAATATGTATTTAATAATATATATATATATATATATAAATATATACCTATAGAGCATATGTATTTCACTATCTTGTAGGACATTACTCGCGTCACAATCTCTTTGTAGCTAATACTGTATGAAACACAAATTCCCTTGTTCTGTGTTTAATTCAAGAACGACCGTCTCCCACACACACACTGTTCAAGAGTCCTCATGGTTGGTTGGATCTATGTATATGTTCAATTACCGCAGTAAGTAACTTTTCTAAGGATTACATACAGTATATCTAAGTAGAGAGGATAGAAGAAGAAGAACTCAATTGATACTTTGGTCATTTATGGAGGAGTGAAGAAAATACTGTACTTACCACCACTTGAGAATGATGTATGGTGGGAAGATGTATGTGTGTGTGTGTGTGTGTGTGTGATGTGGGTTTATGTCTGTCTGTCTGTCTGTTTGTGTGTGTGTTTGTGTGTGTGTGTGTGTGTGTGTGTGTGTGTGTGTGCTGATCAAATATAGTAGGTAATTCTCAAGTTGTGGCATACAGTACAGTACATTCAATTCAATGCTGTCAAGTTGTAGGAAAATGAGCAGAGTATTATATAAGTAGATTTACATAGGTATTATAATAAGAGACATAGTTGACAAGATCTCATATAGGAGAATAGTAGAAGGAATGACGTATTAACTCTGGCAGGTGGTAATACAGTAAGCTTCTTCTCGCACCGGGTAGTGACGGCAGTACAACATGCAGGCCTACCACTGTGGTCTAGACTGCATAATGTAATCCCATGTAGGAGCAGAGTTGAGAAAAGAGAAGCCACATTTTCCTACAACACAATGAATTGAATGAGGAAATTATATATACTGTATATAAATAGAGAAATAAGATAAAAAGCTATGGTTCAATGTATAAATTTCTTCAAGCTTACTGTGAGAGAATCTGTTGTCAGAGCTGAAAAGAATCTAAACTTTGTGATTTTTTTTTTTAAGATTCTGTTTACCGTACATTTTCTGCTGTTAATACAATACAGAAGATGTCGTTATCAAGAGCAGTGACTGGTGATTGACAAATTTTCTTTAGTTTTGACTTAATCATTCAAGATTTAATGCAACATTTAACTCCTATGGTTCTAAATCATAGCTTTATATATTATTTCAGCATCTTTGCTAAGTCAGAATTCTTCATTAATAACAAGGCTTACCCTTAACATCTTCCTCCTCTATAGTCGTACTGGAGTCTGTGCTCTCCTTCACCTGCGAGCCGTCTCCCTTTTTGGTGATGATGGAACGACCTGAGGGTGGTACGCCAAGTGGTAACTCCGTAGGGGTCAGTGGGCCCATGATGGACCCAGGTCATCTTCATTACACCTTCCTTCCAGTGTGGTACTCTGTTATCTGGGCCTCCCATACAACACTCTTCACTCTTATATACTTGCACACACACATACACACACAAACACACTTAACCTCCTCATGCCTACCTGCAGTGTGTGGCCCCCAGCCCCACCTCACTTGAAGCATCGTCCTATGTAACCTTAACATCTCATAAAACAACAAGGAACCTCTTTATAACTTTTGGATCCCAGATGAAAAAATCTTTCCACCTAACCTAACTCATCTCTACAGTGAACACACACTTGTTAAGGCAGAATCTCTTTGTATTCTTTTAAAATTTTCTTCCAAACAAATCCTACATCTTTGAAAATATTACTCCTTGACGACGATGAATAGTAGATGACCCAAGAATATTAACACTGCCTTACACTACTAAATATATAACTCCCTCAATCCTCAACAATCTTTACTCACTATCATCTCTCATCATTACCTCAAGCCCACAAACAGCACTTCTGAAACATTACACACACACACACTCCTCAGTACCCAAGCGATGTAAAGGAAAACAATTCTAAGAGACTAGTAGATTGAATTTGTTGAATACCTAGTTGAGCTATAATATATTCTAGGTAAGGAAGAATATAATAGTAGTTAAACCATCATAACACATTCCAATAAACAATGAGGATCACAAAAAGAGGCAGCAGTTAATATATAAAACAGCATCAGACACAATCAAAAACAATATTCCTTATATGCAACTTGAGCAGACGTAGAGTTTAAAATAATTAATGTTATGCTCCGACACTAAGGTATGATAAAAATAAGACTCATTCAGCAGCACTGTCAGTGTTCTTCAAGCTAGTTCCCAGATGGGTGTTACCTCTCATGTGTCAACTAAGTGTCACACAATATTAAACTTGAAACACTGCACAACACACCAACAACGGCAACATTCACAATCTTATACCTATGTCGGGAGTCTAAAATATGGCCAATGGTCTCAGTCAAAACAGAATGCAATGATCATGCAACAGCATCAGAAATGAACAAGTTATCATGCACAAAACTAATGAATCATTTAGTCTGCCATTATCTGTTTAAAAAATGGATGGCATTGGGATTTTTAAATAGGAGACAAATAATTGCAATAAGCATGAATCTAATTATAATCAGCATTTTATAGTTATGAGTATTTATATGTTCTTATTTATATATATATATATATATATATATATATATATATATATATATATATATATATATATATATATATATATATATATATATATATATATATATATATATATATATATATATATATATATATATATATATATATATATATATATATATATATATATATATATATATATACATATTTAAACAAACAAAAGGTCCTCCATATTAAGTAGGGTTTTATATCTTAACAATCAATCAATTAAGAGATATAGTGACTATATTTACTTATAGAAGATGGCAGTTAATGAAGATAAGACTGTAAGCTATAGCAACACTGATTATGGTCCAAGAAAATAACAGTCTGCAAAGCTATCATGAAAATCAAAGTAAAAAGGCATCAGGCAAAAGGAAATAAATGTTTCATAGCAGAAAAGTTAGCTAGCAAGAAGCCAGCAGTGGTTATTGGCGTGAGAGCCTGGAGAGAGGAGGTGAGGTGAGCACTGACCGCCCACGACGCTCCACAATACAACATCTGATACAACGACCCCAAACAAACCTGATCTAATTTCTCAAAACCTAACCTAGCCTAACCCAGTTTTGGTTCGGGCCATTGTATCATCTGCTGTATGTGGTGGAGGTGGAACGCCGCGGTGTAAAAAAAAAAAATGAAAACTAATCAATCAGCACTCGGCCATCCTTCTCTCTTCTGCTGCTGTTGCTGTTGCCTGGCTGCTTCCTGCACACACCCAAATACAGTACAGGTATATATATATATATATATATATATATATATATATATATATATATATATATATATATATATATATATATATATATATATATATATATATATATATATATATATATATATATATATATATAGTAGTATAAAATTTCTCAAAGGAGCCACTTCAATAAGGCACACTTACAGGTGGCTGCAGCTCTGATAAGGTAACATGGTAAGTGTTGCAGCAATGTGAGGTTTCTTATTCAGGTGATGCTGCCACCCAGACTTCCCTTCACCACATTTACTGTAATATGGGTCACAGCAACAAGTGGTCTTGGTTTTCGGGACAACTGCACCATTAAACACACTGTTGTTTTTACTATTACAAAATATAAGCACTTAAAGACATCATTATAATATGCAGTTGTAACTGTAATAGTGGTGAGATGTTCTTATACCTTATGACACCACTGACTGTGAGGCACTAAGGCTACACAGTGAAGGTGCTGTGATAACTGATGTTCTGTGACTATACTGTACAGTAGTTGTGCTACCCTTGTATTATATGTGTCTTCACCTTACCAAATCATGCTCAGGAATCATCTGGATATAAAAGTTAAAAACCAACTAACATTCTGATGAGCTTCACCTTATACACATCACATGAGGCAGCTCTTGTGACAGGCACTAGACAGGGTCGTCAAGTGACCCCCCTAAAGATCTACAACTCCTGATGATAATGGTACAATATATTTGTACTTTTGTTTACGTCAGAAGACAAACGAATTAATCATGTCTGAATTTTAACTTTGTAACTGAATGATTGTTCCCCAGGTGCAGTCCTTCCCCATGGGTTCAGTGCTGTAGTCAGGTTAACAACTAACAAACACCATTAGATCATTAATGCTAATGTTTAGACTTTCAATCAGAGTTTGGGACAAACACATCCCAGAGAAACAAACCTGACACACCTGCAATACTCACATGACTAGTACTCTCCACCACCAACTGTTGTGCCTTACAGAGGTTTATTTTATATATATACTGTATATATATATATATATATATATATATATATATATATATATATATATATATATATATATATATATATATATATATATATATATATATATATATATATATATGAGCATCAACAAATAGATAAAGTACCGGTAACTTATTTATTTGGTAATATTCAACAATATTCAATGGTATCACCTGGTCTAAATATGCATGAACTAAAACTAAATATCATTAAAACTATTATCAATGTATAGAACATGAAAGATATCACAGGAAGCATTAATTATACACTACAAACATTAAAGAGAGCTAAGACCTGGATGTTCACGTTTATCAACATATTTACAACTATGATATCACCATTAACATAAAGAGCAGAAGTACAAGTCATCACAAGTAATTCTTTCCCTAACACTAAAAAATATATAAATACAGTATACACTTATCATCTTCCTCCTAACACTTATCTTTTTCCCCCTAACACTATTAGCTTACTTGCCATTCACGCAGTCAGTTTGTTCTCCATTACCACCATTGTTTTTCTATCATAAATCCTGTTGTTTACAAATATTCTTCTCAGTGAACTACTGACACATGTGTGGATGAAATCCTCAATACTAATGACTCGTTCAGTAGTTTAAACAAGATGTACTCTTATATATTACTCACCACAGACCCTATCCAGACATGTAACCATCCTCTATATTAGCCTGCCAGTTATTGGCTGTATTAACCATCATATTCAGTTACCATTGACTATACCTGGATATCTAACCATCCTCTTTAGTAATCAGTCTTAGCCCCTTCAACCGACAACATGATGTGAGTCAATGAAGGTTGGCAACTCACCCATCAAGTCCTTCTCTGACAAATATCCACAACTCCTCTACAATTTGACTTTGTTTTTGATAAATCTGGATTATCTTGAGTCCTCCACCTGTGCCGGTCTTTAGGTAATGACTTCTATAATCACTTGTACAGTGCAGGTAATTTTGCTCTTTATAAGTTCATTAATAATTTGGTGTACAGTATTTTGTGTAATTGCTCATTTAATGTGTTATATACATTTATAGTTTTTACAGATGATTGTAATTTTTTCCAGTAATTTTAAGTCTAATGATGATGAGAAATATTGCTGAATATTACCTTATAAATATGTTCTTGTTTATCTTTATAATAGTGTTGATATATGTCTTATTTATATATACCGTATACTGTACCTGACCTGTGTGTGTGTGTGTGTGTGTGTGTGTGTGTGTAATTATGTGTGTGTGTGTGTGTGTGTGTGTGTGTAATTATGTGTTAGTGAGTGCATAGTATGTGAGGTTTAAGTGTAGGTATATAGTATAAGTACTTTAAATATAAATATTGTATATAATGTATAAATATTTGAACCTACTGCCAAGGATGTGGGTTTGAAGTAAAGTGAAGAGTTCCAACGAATTTTCTTGTGTGTATGTTACGGTAAGTGACATCTTCATTATTAGGAAAATAGAATCAGTACATATTCTTCTTTCACAACTCAGTTACTGGTCCAAAAGTACCAACTAGATTGTCTTTTGTTATATTAATGTTTTCATCAGATAATACTTTACACTAAGGTGGGCTCGTTTGTGTGTTTGAAGGCAGCTTTAATGTTCACTACTTAATGCTGGGCTCTGGTATCTAACCTGTTATCCCAATACGTTTAGCCATATTGTATAATTTACATGATTCTCTCTATAAACTGTACCGTAGTCTTTCCTGCCTCTGCTGTCACCCTGTTGACTGTAGTTTAGACGCTGCCTCATGGAACACTGGGGCATTAATAATAAGGGAAACTAGGATATTATTTTCTCTCATACATTTACTTTCAAGAAATGGGGAACAAATGCATGAAATTACATTAGCAAGCATCTCACAAGGGATTCGGTTTGTACAGTGCACAAGTTCAATAGTTTCCATATACTGCAGTTGTAAGTGTTGCAGAATAGACTTAAGTTTCTGGTACTATTTATGAAGCTGGTATCAAGTATCATGTCATGAGAGTTTATTCTTAGAATGAAAACATTACCTTCTGTATCACTTTGGAACCTTGAAAATTTAGCTTGAGAAATATTCAAATCATGCAGATGACACTATCTACATTAGTTTATTAAACTTGTTTCATGCTCCCTCTAATAAAGTTTCCCTCTTGGTTGTGGCCAGTTGATGGTAACACTTGCATGAGAGTCCACACATACCTCATCTTACTTCACTCTCATATCTCAATACTGTACACTACACTGATTGCTAATAAGTAAGGATACTGAAGCTTCCATGATAAATATGTGGACAAACTTCCTGAGGTAATAGTGAGGCTACAGTCATCAGGGTGACAAACTTGCAGGAAGAAAGAGTTGTTGGGTCAAGGTTCTTTCCATTGTTGATAAACCTAACTTTTGACCGAAACAAGTTACTTGATCTCTCTCTCTCTCTCATCAACACCAATAGTGATTCTCTTCCTTCCACTAAAGTATAACTACTTGATATATTACCAGTATTCTTGTTATATGTTTAGCATCCTTTTACATGTATTTATTGTTTTAAATATTTTAAAGCAATTTTTAAACAAACTAAACTAAATCGTCTGTTAAAGCTGCCTTTATCTCTAATATCATTACTGAGTGTTTATGAGGAACTCTACACAATATTTTCATGTTATCAAAACACAAACTGCTGCAATTTTTTTTTAATAAGTTACATACTTAATAAATCCTGGCAATATGAAAAATATTACACCTTCTGTCTAAATATGCTTTAATTGATGTCTGTTGAAAATATGTATCTATCAGTTTTCAAGTGTAATGGAATAATATAGAGTAACATTAAGACACATTATGAGAGTCAGAATAAATCACATAAGAATATATTAACCCCTTGAATCCGGGGTCCTCTGAGCTGAATAACATAGTCTGGAATTAAAAGTGGCATCCCCATAGTGAAGGGGTTAAGCAACAATATAACCTTCTCTCACTGCCTCACACGAGGCAACAGAGTGACACTGTCAGTTGCAAGTTTCTCATCGTATCCAAAATATACTTACTACCTGCATTACTGTCTTATTACCAAATAAATACAGTGAGTTCTGCTATAATGCGTGTTTTGATAACGCGAATTTGCTCTAACGCGATTTATGAATAGAGGAACGATACTTGTATAACGCGAACGCTTGTTTGCTGTAACGTGATTTTTGCTTACTATTTCTCCAATTTTGTGGTATTAACTGTGAATATGGTAAAGAAGAATATCTCCAAGAAGCGTTCTGGTGATCGAATTCCCGGTGATGATCGTAAAAGAAAGGATATAACACTTGAAGAGAAGCTCGATGTTATCAACCTCAAAATCACCCTTCTCCCCCATCAAGTTATATTCATATTTTTTCAAGGTAAAGTGTTACATTTATTGCATGATTTCATTATTAGATATGAATGTAACATTTATTTAGACTGTGCTATCCTTTGTGTTAGGCTAACTACTAATTTTTTTTCGATTTCGAGTAGTAATCTGCACCTAACCCTATTTTCTCCATAAGCCCTGTTATTTCTATTACGCGATTTTCTATAACACGATATTTTACAAGAACACAACTATCGCGTTATAGCAGAACTGACTGTATGTGAAATGTTTGATGAAAAATCTAAAGAAATTTCTGTCTGATGAGTAGCTATGGAATACTGAGAAGAGAAATATGAGCAGACAGTTGGGCAAAGACTCGCAAGAGCAGATGAATAAAGACATTGCCACAGTTGCCCTCCTATAATACTGTACTAGTACTGTAGTGTATATAATTTTTTTTTAGCACAATTATGAAAATTGGGTGAGATATGGACAAGCTGGTTGAGTTTACTGAAAATCTTTCCGACTTTAGTTTGAAAAAAGTGATCTAAATCTAACTGCACCCAAATTTCTTTAAATAAATTCAATAAACAGCATAAATTACTTTTTTAAGCTGTAAATATATTTTAAAAGCCAAAACAGAGAGAAAATTTGGACCGAATTCATGAAATATATTGATTTTTCAGTTTTTAGACAGTTGATATTGATGATCATTATCCTTCACCCCTGACACACATTTACAACTAAACAGACAGTTCTTCAATATTTTCTTGTGCACTTTGACAAAAATGTTTAAAGACATGATTTTTGTGTTCATATTATTACATATGTCTTCATTTCCTCTCTACTAATATCTTCCAGTTTGAAAAAAAATGGTAAAAATTTCTATCTTTTTCAAATTTCACACTAAGGTTCTCCCAATGTACTTTTTAAGGATCTGGATAAAAAAATATCAAATCTGAATATGTAATTACTGTTAATTAATGACCCTTGGAATAACTACAATGGTTTACTTTACCCTGTAAATTCTAGACGAAATTATTGTAAGTTTTCTCATAAATACAAACTGACTGAAACATTTTACAGCATTAGTTTAACTTTCCAGACAAAAAGTGTTTGATTCTTTAACCCCTTAAGTACAGGTTCCCATCTGAGCTGAATAAAATAATCTGGTGTTAGGCAAATACAGGTATACTGTACATTAAAAATGACATTCCCATAGTGAAAGGGCCAAGTTGGGTTCTTGGCCAACATAATGGAACCATATTTTTATTCTCACTATTGTGTTTATTTACTGACAGTGTTGGGACCCTTCACAGGCAGAAAATGTATCACCAATATTCTTAAAACCTGAACAATAAAGTTTCTGAGGATCTTACTGTAGTGTTCATCTCATCACTAAACTGTCCTGGATTTTCTCATCTGGTATCTAATGATAAGAGTTTATTCAGTGCTGATACTGTACTACAATGACTTCTGTCATTACAGAAAAGAAATTGTCTAATAATTACCAACAAAATGGACTCTGGTTTACAAGTACAGGACCGTTACTGTACCTGTACTTATATTACATGCAAGATAACCAGATGACCATTCAATAATTTTTTTGGTAATAGTGAGACTAGATGACTAGATTATCTCCCAAAAAGTAAAATACTGTGCAACATATATTTACAGTTGCATAAATTCCTCAATGTGAGCAAACCAACTTATCATGCAGTTTCATTACTTTCAAATTTCTTAGATTATATCTTAAATACAAATTCACTAAAGGAATTCTAATGCCAACATATTTCTTATATATATATATATATATATCACAGCATTAATTTTTTTCTCAGAACATTATTAATTTGTTAAATAGGCAGAAAGATCAGTTAGATTTATAAGACATTAACCAAATCACAAGGCAGTAGACTAGTGGCTGCGATCAACAGTGAACGGAGAGGCAAAAGACTACCTAACCCTCTGTTGACATTCTTCACTCTGTGTCAAGATTAAATTATCAAACATCTTCAACAACCTGCAAATGTGATGCTGCACAAATTAAATTTCTGAGATAAAATTCTGCTAGTGTCACTCTGCCCTGAATGTGAGGAAAAGATGCTGATATAACTACTAAAATAAATACTAATATATCACTCCATCACACACCTTAAGGTTAGTTATAGCAGCTGTGTGAAAATAACAAGTGTAAGAGTGTACCATGCAGTAGTTAGTGTTATGTACATGGGTAACATGAGTCAATGTTTATGGTACATTTCATTGTAGGTTACTTAATATTATAATTAGAAATTCTAAATCAAAAACAAAATTAATAATAAACAAAACTAGCACAGAAATGCAACTTAGTATGAGTTTGTGCAATAAAAAATTTCATTCCAAAGAGATGACTCAAAATCAAATAAAACAAAAGACAACCAGAAGCATCGCAGTGCCGGAACGGGCTTACCACTTTCTAGGAGAGAGGACATCATATGTGCCATGGGTTTTACCACAAGACGGGAGAGGAGAAGAAGATAGAGTGGTATTAGGAACATACGCCATCACCAATGTGCAACTTATACCCTAAATATTAGGTGTTGGGGACGGGCAGAACAAGGGAGGGTAGTTTAGGAGGCTAGCACTGGCAGACCTTTTAACATTTAATAGTGGAACATTTCTGCAGTATAAAATGGGACATTAGTAATACCTAAAATGAAAAGATTTACCACTGTTAAATACTGTACACTTACATTAACAGTACTGTACTGTGCTGTACGTGCTGTTGCACATCAACTTAACTCTAACACCAAGGGAAATAGTTATTAAGGGGCTGTGTATCACAAAAGGTCTACCTGCTGACTGAAATGAAGGACTTGCAGAGTTAATGACATAAACTGTGGTACAATATACTGTATATCTGAGGGGCTGACAACTAAAACAAGGTGAACAAAGTTTCTTTAACTTGGATATGAAGGAATTATTAATCTAATAAAATAAACAAAATAAAAAATATCTGTTATATCACAATTACATGAATTAATATATAATTGGTTTTGATTAATTAATAAAATCATCTTGATTAAAGTATCGAAAATTCAAAAAGAAAAATACAAAACTCTTCATTAGTAATTGGGGCATTTTAAATTTGATGATATAATTAATGATAATATTACCAGATGTAAATACTGCATTATAAATCTTATCATATAATTGAAAATACAGCTGTTGTTATACTGAGGATGAATTATACATGTATTAGTTATACTTACTATACAGAATTACATATACAAAGTACAGATAAGAAAACCAAGTAGTTTAGGTAGGAAGGACGAGGGAGGAGGTGAGAGGAGGAAGCTTCAATTCTCAATGGCCCGTATAAGCTGGACTACAACTGAGGTACTGTACTGTACAAGCCTCTAAACTAAAAATAAGAACCGTTCGTCTGAGGGCAACCATCCTTCACAGCTTATCCGTTTGGTACTTTAAGAATTCAAGCCTAAGTGATCACTCTTTATGACTGAAAACTTTTGAACGAAACACTGTGAGAATCATTCTGAAGGCCAAATCCACTAAGTAATGCAACTGCCTTACTACTCTACAGCACAAACAGCAAGTTTCTGGCAGTACTGTGGATACCAAGTACTTCACGCACCTTTAACTCAAATAAACGCACTCGTAAAAAATAAAAAATAAATTATAATCTGATAAAACCATCATTGTTGTGTGTCTTTTGCACTAAAATACTAAATAAAGCCAGTGTATCGCTTAACATCAAATCTGTCAGCCTAGGTGAGTGAACTAAAAGAAAAAATATCTGTTGGGTGTGGTCGATACGTGCGGCAGTACTTGAGACCCACAGCAGCAGCCATCAACCATTGCTGTGTCTATCATGCATTAACTTTCATCATGTAGCTGTGAGTTAACTGGAGAGTAACAGGATGTGCAACTGAGGCCAAGGGTATAACCTTTCATTGTATCTCTCTTAATATTGATTTACGAGTTACAAAGAAAGTTCTCTCCAAAGACTAACATTGCAGATCGGGTTACAATAGACAGTTAGAACAAGAGGCCATCTTAGTTATTAGTTATCAGATTCCACGTCAGACTAAGAAAATATTGACAAAGCTTATCTTATATAACATAGCATAAATATTATACTTTAAGTGGACATATCTAGCAGTAAGATTACGTAGTACATAAATACTAATTCATAAATAACCAAACAATTGACTGAGAATGATCAGCAATATCTATCTTGGTTATATAAAGAAAGTAATAATAATAATAATATGTAGAAAATTCCACTGCACTAAACAATCAAACTTTTTTTTATATCAATGAAATATAACACAAAATGATGAGAAAGATATAACAGTCATTAATATTAGTATTCAATTATACTGCACATGAAAACTGAAGAACAGAACATATCTGTGTAGCATGAAGCAGCACACTGGAGCCTTAGTTTATAATTCTCATAAATTGCATTGCTTACAACTCATATAACAACAATAATAAGTTGACTTGTGGCTAATAAATACCACAAGGGTAATGAAAAATTGTTTACTGATGGTTTAGAAATTTAAAAAACTTATATATTACAGATAAAACTCCTGTGTTGTTCATGATACACACTTTATGCCTACAATACATTATCAGCTATCTAAGCGATTTAATAGAATATTACTTTATGCAATAGTCATAACACTATAATTGAAATACTTTTAAAGGGAAAATTAAATGACATTCTTGCCGCTTAGCTACAGTGCATGAGCAAACTTCACAATATTTCAACTGTAAATATTTCTCAAGAATCTCTATAACTTGATGCAAAATGTCATGACACAAAAATAAAATATATAAAGAATAAATTTGGCTAATAAAAAACCAATGCATTAATAAAATTGTAAGTAAAGAAATCTAAGAAATTCTCACCTTTTCAGTAGTTAGAGATAAAAAAATGAAGAGCATTCTATATGGCAACATGAACAGTGAGAAGAACAACACCACCATCAGCAACACTTACACCGAGGATGAACCAACCAACACAAACAAATAAACAAACAGCAACAGCCCTAAAAAATCTGTACTGCAATAATAACAACGCATAATGCTCACTACATCATGTCATACCAAAAATTATCATCTTATTACTTACTGGGTAATTATTCTTTATGCCAATAGCTTTATCTAACACAAGGGAGTTTATTTTTTAACTTTACTTCCCCCCAAAAAAATTTTGAAATATTTCTCTACACCAATTAGTTCTCTTGACTTATCTACATTACAAATATATTTCACCAGCTGCTGGGAAGAATTGCTTAGAAAACAAAAAGTGAATAACATCGAGGGTTTGTGACAACTTTATGCCTGGAAAAATATAGTGTAAATTTTTGGTTAATATTATCACTGATGACTATAATTAATTGGTGGTAGGGATTTTTTTGAGCTTCTCGGGCATAATGTAACTTGACTTTTCATATCTAACTTGAAAGAAACAAAAGAGCATCAGGATAATACCATATTTACATTCTACATTATCAGTACCGTACATATAATTTCTAATACTGACATGATGGAGGGGGGGTTCCTTCATACAAACTATAATGATATAACATCAATGATTCATTATACATTACCCTTTATGGTAAATTTCTATAACAAATGGGGATCTTTTTAATAAATGTTGAGGCTATCAAAGCAACTGGTAAAATACATAATTCTATAAAAAGTACTAAATAAATTTGAGAATCCTTAAGCAGCAGGTTATTCTTAGGGCTTCATAATGCACCACTGAACATACTTGAATTGTCTAAGTCAAGCTGCGACTGTTTTGGTCACCCACCAGAGCCGATAAAGGCACATACCATAGTCTCTAGGCAATGAACACCATCAACAAGATTACATCCCAGAATTTCAAGATATGGAAAAAAAAATACAAACTACAGGCGCGGAATCATTGCATTAGGCTTAGGGGTATTGCTATCTGGCGCAACCGTACGATTAACTGTACGTAATTAGGCTAAAACAGTGTATAATTCATCTACAAATTCACATAAGTTGAATATCATTATACCTATCAAGTGATACAATAAAGAGTTCAGTTACCCAGCTCTTCTAACACTGGTACTGTACATTATACCCCTAAACCTCAACGGACAGTGATGGTCAGTGCTAGCAAATCATGGCAATAACTGTTTTCTCTCTGGATCTAGAGTCTTTAACAACACTGTAAATAATGAATAGAATTAAAGTTAGACAATCATTGCACAAGCAGTGACCTATACACACAGTCCCTGTATGTCTAAACATTATATACCGTGTACCAGTGGCATTAGCTGTTGACCCGACTCCTTTACTCCCCACAAAGAAATAATTCACTCTCTCTGTTAGTCACTGATATCTGAACATGAATGAGTACATTTGTAAATGTATGGATGTCTATACAAAGAACAGTGTACGTATGAAATATTAACCTCTTGTGTATGGGGCCTCCTCTGAGCTGAATAAAATCATCTGGTGTTAGCCAAATAAAATATTAAAAGTGGCATCCCCTTAGTGAATCAGTTAATCAAACTATAGATTTATATATGAGTGTAGGTACCATATGTATGTATGTATCATATATGCACTTGATTCAAGAATACAGTATAAGTTACACAACTTGAATAAGGACGATGCTGATCAGCAATATATGTTTTTGCAAAACTTTCCAGACTTGCACAGTCAAAATCTTCATTGACAAAGTTATTCCAATAGATAAAGCCACAATGAAGTTAAATGGGCAAATAAAAAAAAAACTGAAAAAATTATGCAATGTTTTAATGCTCCTGACATTAATGTGAGGGCTGGAAATTCACACAATGTTTTCATAAATCTACTGTATTCTTATTTTGCTATACAGTCACTTATAAAGTATAACTTGAGATGCAAAAAATAAAAAAAATTAAAATTTCTCACTGTTGCACCACCAATGAATACTGAAAAGTCATTCTCTATACAGGATGGAGCTCCAACTCATTTTGCCAACGATGTGTTAAATATTAAAAACAATCCCACACAATGGGTTGGTTACCACAGGCACACTGAGTGACCTTCTTGAGGCACACTGAGTGACATTCCTGTTCTCCAGATGAACATGTTTTATGGGAAACAATTAAATTAAAAGTATAAACAACCCTTAGTTCCTTGTGTATGGGGTCTCCTTTGTCCTGAATAAAATCTTCTGGCATTGTAGTAATATTATCATTAATCAGTTTCTAACCCTGACTGTGGGTGTGCGGATTTATGCAATTGGTCTGTCCATCGTCTGTCAACTAGTGTGTGTGTGTGTTTTTCCTTAGATAAGATTAAGGTCTCTGATATAATGAAACTGTTTATGTATTGTACTGGTTGAAATAATGAGGCTGTTTATATACTCTTATCATCTACTTAAGTATTATAACTGAAACAAAATATTGAAACAACCAATTA